AACACTTCAGTGTAACTGTGCCATGTGAGTTCATATAACATTTGTGCAATAAATCAACCAGATAGTATGTATCTCTTTCAAAACAACCAATAAGAATCCTGACACCTACGGTCTTGTGGACTTCACAAAAGACTACAAGACTATGGGCCTATTATACGAGCCTGTTCTCATCCCAAGGCGACGCTGTTGCCAATGCGGATACATCCAACGCACATGGCACCCTTTAGGCCGTGTGTCCACCAAAGTGTTTTTCCACGGGCCTGGCGTATGTTTTCAATTGTTTTCAATGGGAGCGCCGCGTTTTTTAAACGCCATGAGGCGCTGAGCGTTTTTGTCACGCTGAAGCGCCGAGCGCCCAGCGTTTTTACTGGTCGCTGGGAGTTGAAAAATGTTCAACTTTGGATAAAACGCAGCGCTCATCACTGTCACTTTTTACCCAGCCGTCCAATCACAGTGGAGGAGGGGCGGGACTAATACCACACCAACCAACTGTCACAACATTCAAACTGCTGCGGATATTCTGTATCATAGCAACGAAACGTCTCAACGAAAAAAAAGGTTGCGCTGCCAAAACGCTCTCAAGTGCCCAAAGCACGGCGTCTTCAGCAGAGCATTTATTCTGCTGCCAAAAAGAACTAGTTTGCAAGGACCCTCGTTTGTCTACATACCTGTTGGACACCAATTGCGCTTTTCCTTTTCCAGTACCAGCTCAGCTCGACTCGCCTCGGCTCACTTTTCGTTCTGTTTTCCATTGCAGACAGTACCGCCACAAATAGTACCTGGTCGTCATAGCGACGCCTTACGTTCCTCGTTGCCCCATCAATCTCTCGCAGGATCCTCTCTTTGGCAACCAAACAAAGGAAAGTCTACACCCCTCGTTTGACCACGGCATATTCTTCCGAGTTGCCATAATAATAGTAGTAAGTTTAGTAACTATCTCTGGCCAAACAATTTAAAAATAGTGCGGTTATTCTGGATACTCAATCTGGCGCATGTAATGATGACGCAGTGAATGGTGACAATTCTCTCTGACCAATCAGCAGTCGGCATTGTTTTCACGTGACATTTTAGTACCGGCTAAGCTCTCCTTAGCTCGCTCAGAACCTCGCCGGAGGTGATACTAAAAAAAGTACCCGAAATCAGGAACAGGTACAACTTTTACGCAGTGGAAAACCAAACAAAGGCGAGCCGAGTCAAGTTTAGCTGGTACTGTGTAGTGGAAAAGCGCCTTCAGGGAGTTTTCACACTAGGCACGTTTGCTGTGATTTGATACTGAGTGTGAATGTACCAGGACTGTCTGTTTCTTGCAAATGGACTGCATGTCCACTCTTGCTTATATCCAAGGTAAGGTGCATGTCCATGTTACTTCCGAACAATTGCGGACCCAAGTTCACATTCATGTAAACTGCACCAGTTCCTTTGCCACCGAAATCAGACCACCATCTAAACCTAGTCTCGGGTGCAGGTACTTATAATGATATCATTATAATATCAATACTTAATAATGAATTTATCAAATGCTTATTTAATAGGTAAATCATTCATTTACAAGGATATCAATTCAGGTACACTGAATGGCATATATAACGCTGCCTCTAAGTGAGCAAACAGACAAAGAAGAATCAAGAACAGCCCTGTTTCTTAAAAGCAAAACCATTGCCTTGATTCCACACTCTTGTAAATGTTCATGAAAAATCTGTAGGCAGACCATCAAATTTTTCCACACTGAGGCCTAAAGCGGTGTCAGACTGCCAGAGTGGAGAAGAGAACAGAACCAGTTTTTCACTGCCACTCTGGGTGTCCAAGAGCGATGTGGACAGGGGGCGATAGAGCGATGAAAGAACAGGATAATCACGGCCACCAACAGCTAGACTGTCTATGCAGTGATCGAGGGAGCGATGTGACTTTTTCTCCTTATTCTGGAAAATGGACATCTTTCTGCCTAAGGTTGGCGCTCATCATGCCTGTTTCTCCCTGCTGGAAGCTCAAACTAGCAGCTTTCCACATTTCTGACTGTGCTCCAAGCTACCGAACTGTAGCAAAACAGGGTTAGGGTCTAACTTTGTTTGACACGTACATTTATTTGATTTATGACACTTGAGTAGTGAGTGCCAAAATTGATCGTCAAGATGGTGGCATCAAAATGAGCGTCTCAGCTAATGACAACCACAACAGCTGTGATCACTAGTTCAGAGGAATAAAAGGTTTTAACAGACTCCTGCTGCCCCCTAAATGTGTAAATGAAGCGTGTACTACAAAACTGGCTCACTGAAATGGGCTTGTATTCGCTTTTTCATGACTGGGAACAGTGTTTTGTTGATGGGCTTCATAAACAGAAAGTTGTAGTTTGATTTGCACATACACAAATCCCGACTTCTCGACTTCTTGCCCCCCAGTGGCAGTAAAAGTTTATTGTTTATTTTGGAATATGCACAGGACGCGTGGACAATTAGAGTTAGGGTGTGTGATGAGCTCCTCAGGCCTTGTTAAGCTCACCTCTGAGCATATTTTCTGTGTGACTCAGTCTAGTTAATAAGGGTCTTATTACCTAACCCCTGCTCAGTTTTGGACACATGCTACCAGAGACAGTTCTGCCTCCCTTGTGAAATAGAATTGCACTTAATTGTACTAAATGTGCACTTGCTGTGTACTTCAAAACTTAAATGTGTGAATGTTTTGTCTAAAAATATATACTTGGCGATAATATAATATATTTACGTATTTTCTGTGTTGAGTAACATACTAAAACAAATGTAAAGTACTTGATTGTAAATTTAACTGTAGTGTGTTATTACTGTGTTTTAAAGCACTTAATTGCAACTGCATCTTTACAAGTTGGGAATGTTTACAAGTTTCAATATACATACAAGTTTCAATAGACATGACATTAATGTAGAATTTAGTATACCATTAAAGCAGTCAATATGTCAGTACATTTTACAGTACACTTATTTTAAAGACAAAAGAAATAATTATGAAATTACATATAAAGATGTACTTAAAGGGATAGTTCACTTTGAAATTAATTTTTGATATGTTTTAGATTACCTCAAGGGCATCCAAGATGTATGTGTCTTTGTTTCCTCAGTATTTTCAATTTTGACATTTTTCAGTCAAACCGTTGTTGTCTGTCAGTTATACACTGGAGGCTAAGGGGGTCCACCAAAAAGCATGCACAGAGAAGTCAAAATTAAACATGATTTAATGACTCGTAAATGTAAGTACACATTGATGGCCTAAGACACAAAACGAGCGGTTTGTGTGAGAAAACGAACAGTATTTATATCCTTGTTACCTCTTGTAATTATAGCCATGACAAAATGATCTGACTGCACGGGTGCTTCGGTCTGCACAAGCGCCGGAAGTGATCGCTTGCGCACCTACGTTACTCTTTGTTTATACAGAGATTTCGGAAGTTTTACCTTTCACTAAACATATTTAGATATACAGGAAACCGCAATTGAAGACGATTTCTATATGAAGAGTTCAGATGCAAAAGCCTCTTAGTGCCATTTGAAATTTTCTTCTAGAATGATCATTTTTTATCAAGCTTGTATATTTAAGTTCAGTGATTTCACTTAAATGGCAATGATAATTACCTATTAATTGTTATTTAAGTGAAATTACTGAACTTAAATATACAAGTTTGACAAAAATCATCATTAAAGAAGAAAATTTCAAATGGCATTTAGAGGCTTTTGCATCTGAACTCTTCATATGTTTAGTAAAAGGTAAAACTTCTGAAATCTCCGTGTAAATATTGAGTGACGTCACACGCAAGCGATCACTTCCGGCGTAACATTGAACTGATTCAGTTCGGTTCAGTTGGACATTGCACAACTGATTCAGATCACTTGGACGTCACTGTGATTACAAGAGGTAAAAACGATATAAATACTGTTCGTTTTCTCACAAAAAACGCTCGTTTCGTGTCTTAGGCCATCAATGTGTACTTACATTTACGAGTCATTAAATCCTGTTTAATTTTGACTTCTCTGTGCATGCTCTTTGGTGGACCCCCTTAGCCTCCAGTGTATGACTGAAAAATGTAAAAACATATCAAAAATTAATTTCAAAGTGAACTATCCCTTTAAGTCCTACTGGGTCAAACAAATTGTGTTTAGTATAAATTTGAACATTATAAAACCTTCTCATTTAGTTATAAATAATGTGCAATTAAGTGTCAAAAACATTACAGTTCTCGTTTAAAACATATGCTAAAGTGTACCTCTTTTTCACAAAGGTCTCCACCATGATTTCTTTATGTCAATTATCTCTCTAAAAATAAACGTAAAAATATGCAAGTGTGATCGGTTCTACTAGACCTGCTCCGAGCGGGTTTTGAACCGGGGTCTCTGGTGTGGGAGGTGGGCGCTAATAACAACGCTTGAGACCACAGGCTGTAGCGTCAGTCGCTAGTGTGCCTCTTGTTGCAAGGGGAGTGAGGTTTACACACACAGATCTTCCTGGTCTATGTCCTTTACACAAGTGTACATGTAAACTGTTTTTACACTTATTTTTTGTTTGGGGTCTCAGAGACCCCAAAGCAATTTTAAGAACTCAACAATTGAATTGACTTTGAAGTATCGGTGGTATGATGTGTTTTCCTAATTTCATGAGATTTACTTGATAAGATACTTTAATCGTCCATTATGAAAAATATTATACTGTATTACTTATCTTTGATCCCGTTTTTTTCTTGGATCAAATGAACCCTAAACAGAAATAATGTTACTAGACTGGATCACATTTGTTTTACTTTGTGGTAAACAATATGGATAAACCAATAAAGACATCTGACAAGTAGTTTCGAGGTAAGAGAAAGCTATTAAAAATATTTTGAAGGAAAAATCACGTTTCAATATTTTTACATGCATATCAGGGTCTCTGGGATCTGCAAATGAGTCTGAAGATCCTGTTTATCAGCTGGTTTGGTTTAATTTGATTTGGATTGCATTAAGACACTTGATTATTTCCAGACTTTCTTTAAATTTCAACAGATACCACTCGGGAGCAGAAAAAGCAAGAGAGAGAAGGGGTGGAGTACCATTTTGTCTCCAAACACACTTTTGAAAAAGATATCCTCAACCACAAGTAAGCTAAACACTCATGAATGGTACCCAGCCCATGTTGTAGTTTATTCTAGAGGCTGGTTTTGGGTTTTGTTGTTTTACTTTGCTAAACCAATTTTGTCTAGTGGGCAGTTATGGAAGATGAAATAAAATATTTTAAAATCAAACAACACTTCTAGTAATCTACGTAATCTACCACTTTACCTGGTTGTTTTTATCCCAAACAAGATTAAATAGTGGATTTATAAGAAGCCAACTGCATTATTCCTGTATTTAAAGATGCTCCTGGAATTTAAATCACACATGTAATCCTTGTTAATGCTTATAACGCAGATCACAACCATTGACAGGAAATACTCCCTTTCTCCAATTTTCACTCAAAAACGAGAGGAAATCTCAAAAGCATGTGTCCGTGAACAGTGTCACATTATATTAAAGTTGGGGGATATTTTAAGAGCCTTCTGTGGTTTGAAATGACTTTTTGTCTTGTTAGTTGGACATAGGGAAAGAAGCAAGTGAGACAGGAATGACAGAGAGCAGACAGCCCAACTTTCCAGAGAGGTGCACTAGAGAGAGGAAAAGCGGGCTGCTTTTTGCATCACTCCTCTGAATTACCATCATCTTTGATTATCATACAATTGCCTTATATTAAAGCCAAAGGCAAAAGCCCAACGTTACTACCAGAACTCAAGCAGTAGGAACCTCTACTTCAGTAGAAACCATCTACTACGCAAATGAGTAACACTTTTGAATAGGTGGTGAAGATTCTCGGGGCCCCTGGCTTTCGGAGAGACGCCCTAGCCTAGCTATGGCCCTGCCAATCAGACTTTTTCATACCTCCCAAAAAATAAAGAAACAAAGTACTGTTCTATAATTAATGTGAAGCTAATCAATAACCAGTGTTGGGGAAGCTACTCTGAAACTGTAGTTTGACAAGCTACAAGCTACTCGTAAGTTAAAGTAGTTAAACTACAGTCAAGCTACTCTTTTGGAAAAGTAGTTAGCTACACTACAAGTTACTATCAAAAAGTAGCTAGCTACATTGAAACTACTTTTGCTTTTGAACAACGTATTATTAATAACTGAATAAGTGTCTGAGGACAGAAGGGGACAACAATACTTTTTGAAATCATAATTTTATTGCAATGTTTTAAACACTAAAAGAATGCAATAAAATTATGATTTCAAAAACTATTGTTTTATTACACACAACACCCAAATATCTCAGATTGTTTGTCAAAAGTGCAAAATTGTAACCAATAGGCTACAACATTGCAAGAAAAAAAATATACATCCAACGTAAATTGCATGTAGAACATTTTCTCAAAAATACCGATTGAACTTGGACAAATAAGGCCATGGGTAATTAACGTTAGTTGTTTCTCCATCCTCCAATTCTGCTGTCACATCTTGCTCCATCATCATGTGTGTGTCAACACACTTCTGTACGTCAGTGAACTGTTAGCCGCAGATGTGTGATTAAACAACAGGTGGCGGTGATGGCAAAAAAATGAGTTTGTAATCTAACAAGAAGAAGAATATCCTAGCAGCGCGCTGATTCGCGCACGCTCGACAAACACAATGTAGCTTTTGCTCGAGCTACACCGCTACTTGCTGCAAAAAGTAGTTAGCTACTGGAAAAGCTACACTGTTTAAAAAGCAACTGAGCTACTGCCAAGCTACTCAAAAATGTAGTTAAGTTAGTAGCTTCGCTACTTGTAGTTAACTACTCCCCAACACTGTCAATAACTAATGCCGGCAAATTAACATTTTAAAGGGGGGGTTGACTGCTTTTTTTCTTTGCATGATTGTGTTTATGGGGTGCAATATAACATGTATTCGTGGTTTTTTCTTTTTTTAAAAGTCTTATTTTTCATAAACTTCACCTTTATTGTCAGCCGCGCTCTCCTCTGTCCTCGAACGAGCAGTTGACTCCCTGAGTCTATGAAAACACTCCTTTAGAAACAGGCAGTGGGCTCAGATTGGTTAGCTTGGCCCGGTGTGTTGTGATTGGCTAAACTGTCGCTCACGTTGTCCGGAAGGTTAACGCCCATTACCTTTACGGGCGAAACGTGCATGTCATGAGCTCTGGTCTAGATGTAAATATGTGTCGAACTGCAGTATCAGTTTGAGGCAGAATCAGACCGAGAAAGCCGCGATGAAGAGAGTCAAGCAGAACCTCACCACACACGGCTCTTACTAAACGTTTCTGGATGATAATTTTCTACATTTTTTAACTTTATACACGTTTATTTTACACAATAGCATCTGACTGGCAACAATAGCAACTGACTGGCTACTATTGTTATACTCAAACAGCGTTGGCATGTTTACGTTCTTGATCAAATCGAAAATAACGTCATGAAAAATACGTTTAAAACATTAGTACTTATAGAAAATTTAGGTCCACAATGTTTGTACGCATTTGTCGTAGACACAAAATAGCATAACTGGTAGCCTATATAGTGGTTATGAAGCCAGCGCTGGCATTTGAAAAAAAAAAAAACACATAAGGCTACGTCTGGAATTAAATATGCAAATACATTTAAAATGATTAAGTCTTAGCCTACTTACAGGTTGTGGCCCAACAACTGCTGCCTCTGGTTTAAAATTTGGAACCGCTTCATGTTTTAGTAACAGTTTCTTGTTGAATCCGGTGTTGAACTCGTGGAGATTCTGGAAGCTGTCTTCCGTAAAATGTGCAGCACAGAGAGCTAGATTATGATCGTCATTTTCAGGAACATAATCAAACATAAATTGTATCCATTGTTGACGAAGTACAGCGTCCGTGGGAAGCCCGAACACAGAAGACCACACACTCGACGAGCCGCAGAAATATGCGCATGCCCTGTTTTGCATTTCCAGAGGGAGGGGTTGATGCAAATGTGTGGGTTAGTGACGTCTAAAACCCAGCTGTAGTCCCAATCGAGTCGTTTTTGTAGGCAATTATAGTTCCTGATTTTTAAAAGACGATATCTCTGCTTACACTGAACTTTCAGTGCTATAACTTTACAGATACTGTTCATGCACCAACAGCAACATTACACACTATTAAAAATGAAAAGTGTGAAATCGCAGTCAACCCACCCTTTAACTACTATTTTAACATTTCAACACTTTTAACAATTGGTAATAGCAGACAAGCTGTTAATAAATCATACGTTTTATCAGGCATCTTACAACTATGAATCATTTTAACTCTTTCCCAGCCATTGACATGCTTTTCCATTATATACGTTTCCCGGCTATTGACAAGTTCTTCCAACAATCACTAGAGAGTCATGGAGATTATTTGACCATTTTGAGTCATCAGCCATACCTCAAATGCCCTGAAAAATCTTATACAGTGATTTATTTATTTAATGTACCTTGTGGAAATATATGGTTCTATATAGTACTGTATGTCTAAAGTGAAGATCATAGTAACCCACAAGTAAGGACTCGATTATGACTTGGCTCTTCACTTCAGGATACTGTTCCAATTTAATAAGTAATTCCTTCTGAAGGATTTGATAATACTTGAGTTATTACTAGTACTTTACTATGATCTACACTTTAGAATTAAATGCATTATGCAGAATTTGTGTTGTTACTTGATTTGCATAATATCCTTTAGTGATTCAGGAGTGAAGCAACTTGCAGCGTGTACAAATATGGCGCTATCAGTAGCCATAATTAATTCTTAGTGAATTCTCCTCTCCAATTCTAATTCACTTTATAGGATTAGAAGCACAACTGACTTTTGAAAAGAAACAGGCACAAAATGATTTACTGTCTCATTTCTTATGCAATTATGACACACTTATTGAAAGCATTGCATTTTAATTTTGGATCATTCTTTGAAGACCATCCCTCAAAAGTTCGTTGCTTTTATTTACATTTGTGTTACAAACATAACACAAAAAAATCTGGAAGGATGATCTGCTGAAATATGTTATAATTTACTCTATGTGGATCATATTGCACTGATTATATTGGAAAGAATCATGCTAATAGTGTGTAACAGCAAACTGGAAAACATCACCTGGAGATTTATGTTTGCATGCTCCAAATTGTCATTTATTTTCTAATGATTTATGGTCATCTTATTATTTATCAGATATTTTCATAGCATGTTATTAAAAACAGTCATGTAAAACAGTTTAAATTATTAGAGCTTATAAAAATGTCTATATTCCCCATATTTCATGCTCTCTGAATTTTTTTCACCTAGATTTTTGGAGTATGGTGAACATAAAGGGAACTACTATGGTACGAGTCTGGATTCGGTGCGCAGGGTCATAGCGGAGAGCAAGGTGTGCCTGTTGGATGTGGAACCACACGTGAGTCAAAGATCATTCATGAATGCCAGGGTGTGTGAGCACTGGATAAGGGATCTGCGCCCGTTGGTCTTCGACAACAGCGTCCCCTTTCACAACATATTTTGTAATGGATTTTATTTCATATTATTAAAGAACCACACATGCAGTATATGATACAAATACCGCAATTTGTGCCTCTCTCCAGAAGCACAAGCGAAAGAGGAAAAGAGAGAAACGGGGATAAACAGAGTGAGCGAGAGCCAGGGAGTCCTATATTACATGTCATATTTGTTGACTTTGGAGCACGGACTCAAGGGCAGGAATTATGTCATTTTGGACGGGGAGCTTCTGTCAGCTCTACTCCAGTTGGTACATTTCCTGTGGTCTGATTATTTTTCATCAGCTTGTAACATTTATAGAAACATTCTCACTGTATTAACGAACCTACTATGTGAGCACATGGCTGATGCTGTGTCTAGTGTTTCATACCATAGAAAATTGGTTTGAAATTAAACAGTTACAATGTAACATGGACACATTCACACCAGGCAACGATCTGTTTTATTTTGAAGAATAGGTCTCACATGTTGCCATTTAGCTCACTGTCATTTGTTCACTGTTTTTTTTTCTCCATTCTCTAACAGACCATAGCAGCCTTATATTCCTCTGAGTTTAAACCTTATGTTGTATTTGTGAAGCCTCCACCAATCGAGCGCTTGAGACTGAGCCGAAGAAAAGCAAAGGTTCTGTCAAGTCAGAATGAGCAAACAGTAACAAAAATCTTTACGGTAAGAGATATAATGATTGTAGTTTCTTGTCATCTCTAGTACCACCTTGGGTGTGCATTATTTTTCACATAATTCAATGGCCCGGCAATATTCCTTACTTAATATAATGTGGGATCCAGTGTTGGGGTAGCTACTCTGAAACTGTAGTTTGACAAGCTACAAGTTAAAGTAGTTAAACTAGCTACCCTTTTAGAAAAGTAGTTAGCTACACTACAAGTTACTATCAAAAAGTAGCTAGCTACATTGAAACTACTTTTGCTTTTTGAACAACGTATATAATAAATAACTGAATAAGTGTCTGAGGATTTTTTAAAGTAAAGTGTTTAGTGTTTAAAACAATGCAATACAATTGTGATTTCAAAGAGTATCGTTTTATTGCACACAACACTCAAATATCTCAGACTGTTAGCCTACAACATTGCAAGAACAAAATATACATCCAACGTAAATTGCATGTAGAACATTTTCTCAAAAATACCGATTGAACTTGGACAAATAAGGCCATGGGTAATTAACATTAGTTGTTTCTCCATCCTCCAAATCTGCCGTCACGTCTTGCTATTTAATCATAATATGGGTGTGTCAACCCACTTCTGTACGTCAGTGAACCATTAGCCGCAAGATGCATGAACAGGTGGCGGTAATGGCAAAAAATTAGTTTGTAATCTAAGAAGAAGAAGAATATCCTTGCATCGTGCTGATTCGTGTAGGCTCGACGAACGCAATGTAGCTTTTGCTCGCGCTACACCGCTACTTGCTGCAAAAAGTTGTTAGCTATTGGAAAAGCTACATTGTTTAAAAAGCAACTGAGCTACTGCCAAGCTACTGAAAAATGTAGTTCAAGGAGAACTCCGGCGCAAAATGAACCTTTGGTCTAATAAAACATCGGTACCTAGTCAACCGTTCTCTGAGATTTGTTTTCATGATCAACATGACTTTTGCGTAAACATATAAACCACTTTCGAGTCAGGTGGCGTATTATCTCTATGCATTTTGAGCTATCCGCGTGTATCCGCGTGTATGCGTATATGTCTACGCCATTAACGTCCGCATCATTCCGCGTGTCTGTACACGCAGTCAAATCTCCAGTCATAAATGCCATTAAACCCAGTGACGGTTAGGTTTAGGGACGGGGTTGAGGTAAGTCATATATTTATATAACGTTAAGTCAACGGCGTTCATAAACACGCTGAAAGGCGATTATGCGTCTTGATAGCACGGCAAAAATGGAAATACGAATTGGCGTGTCATACACACGCTACTTCATGAGATCAGTCTGTCATGAGTTTTATCTCTGAAACCTGTTTAGCGTATAATGCTAGTAATGGGGGCATTTACATATACAAAGAAATCGCTAGTTTATACCACTAACAAGGCTCAAAATTGCCCCACACTAACACAGTAACATAATGAGGGTCCATACATGCAAAACGAAGCATTGAGAACTTTGTAAGTGTACGTTTGATAAGAAGATACTTTATAAAGACAGTTCACTTCGTTTATACAGACAGAAGCCATCTTAGAAAATAGTCTCGATAAGTTGATCCCCGAACGCCGTTCATACAGTTCAGAAGTTCACTGAACTTCATACAGTTCACCTCACTTGGCACGTCGTTCGTGGTTTGACTTGTCGTGACTTTTCCAAGATGGCGCCGCCTGTATACACGAAGTGAACTGTCTTTATGAAGTGTCTTCTTATTAAACGGTCTGTACACTTACAAAGTTCTCAGTGCTTCGTTTTGCATGTATGGAGCCTCATTATGTTACTGTGTTAGTGTGGGGCTATTTTGAGCCTTGTTAGTGGTATTAACTAGCGATTTCTTTTTACAAAGTTAATGCCCCCATATACTAGCGTTATACGCTAAACAGTTTTTAGAGATAAAACTCTTTACATTCGATGAAAACAAATCTGACTAGGTACCGATGTTTTATTAGTCCAAAGGTTCATTTTCCGCCGGAGTTCTCCTTTAAGTTAGTACCGTCGCTACTTGTAGTAAAATACTCCCCAACACTGGTGGAATCAATGTGGGATCAAAAATGGAATGGGAGAATTCTCAATGCATGACCTTCCTACAGCAGTTCAGTTCACAGCTGAGATGAACAAGCTCTGACCTGACCCATCGTCTTGACCGTACATCAGCCTCTCTGGCATTTAATGCACCTCTTTGGAAAGAGTCCCTTTTAAAAACCTCTCCAGGGTGGGCTGCAGGTGTGCCCCATGAGTACACACAGGTTTGTCTTCTTACGCTCCGAACGGTCTGAGGGTCTTTCAGGCTTGGGGCAGAAGGTTTGCTGGTAACCCCACTGAGACCCATCTGTGTCATGCTGTGAGTGTGAGCACCTAAGTCTACCCCAGAGTCTTATAAAAGACTTGGGTCATCTCTCTCACACCTGGATGTTGTTTTACAAACTACCAAGCTCCTGGGTGCAAATGTGTTGCTCATCTTTCCATATTAACCTAGGACACACGTGTCCTGTGTGACTGCACTGAGCACTGACCTTAACAAGACACATTTGGACATCACTAGTTTTTATGATTTAGTGGAATGATTCGTCGTTACTGTCTTCTTTACTTTTTTTTACTCCAATCCAAGCCAGTTCAGTCTGACGCATAATGTCACATCGTTTTTATAATTCATAAACCACAAAGTGAAATACCTTTTGAGGTACGGAAAGACATTTATAGACAAGAAGTGTTCTTTTGGACCATCTGGAGCTTTGGGTTCTGTGTAAAAATGTCTTTTCACTGTTAAAAATAGTGGACAATGTCATAGCTGAGGAAGAACATTTCTCATACTGACCATTGACCTGAATGAATTTAACAGGAACACTTAAATACACTGAACTGTATGAGTAACTTCACTGTCATGGCTATTTTTCTAAATGCTTCAAGATGACTATATACGTAAGAGAACATAAATTAAAGCTTAAACTTAAGGAATTCCTTTCACTAGGCTGACCGAAACAATGGAAACACTCAAAAGCATGGCATCTCACGTAAATGCAACATCTGTAGCCCCGTGGAGTCTAACCCTTCTGCCATACATTCTGCAAATGTCACTCATGTTGGTGATGTAAAAAAACCATCAGCATTAGATTTGTTTTATTCTGCCTCGTTGATCCCTATGTTGTTTTAAACCCACATCAGATGACGTGCTTTCTACTGATTTGGTTGTGGGCGTATTAGATATTGGGTTGGACTTAAAAAAAAAAAAAAAATCTGTGAAATTTACAGTAAAATAATGGAAGTTGTGGTTGCCAGATCTTTACCATAAAAACTATGGTACCAGCATTTCAAATTTTACGGACTGACCTTAAAATTTTACAGTAAAATTAAAATATACTTTTTACTGTAAAATTTTACAGTAAAAAGTAAAATATACGTTTTACTGAAAAATTTTACAGTATTATTTTTTTTTTGTGTAATGTGCCCAAGCCATTGACATTCAACACAAAACATGTAAATAACTAAAAAGAAAAAACTAAGAGCAAAAAGCTTTTTCAATGAAAAAAACGGGAATTTCAATTTTACGTTTTTTAACTGTAAATCATAAGATGATTTGTTGTTATTCACGCTCAAAAAACAAACAGTATTTTACTGTGAAATTACATGAAATGTCATGTTCAGACTACATGAATTAGCCCAATTTTGGCACAATCCATTTTACATAGGGTGCGGTAGCGATTCGTAAATGACAATCCGCAAGAATCTATCGTTTTATCTCATATAGTGTCATGGTGGACGACAACCAACGCCGAGTCTGTGATGCTTTACAATGTCCTGACAGAAAGACTAGCATGTTTCTTCTTTTTTTACGGTCCTCCACGATGGGTTTCATCACATATGTGACATTGACCAATAGGAACACAGAAGCTTTCAAAACATGGACAAAGAGAGACGATGGTATTGGTGCTGCTACTAGGAGGAATTGTTTCTTTCTGGGGGGTTTTCCTGATAACAAGACAGCCAGTACAAAACACACTGCTTTGGTAGCCATTGTTTCATTAATGCTCCGAAATTCAGTCGTTAGTTCCGCCTGCTCGATGACATCACGCATGTCATTAAATACGGCAAGTGATGATTGGTCAGGAAGTAACGCATAGTCTGACATGTTTCTCATCCACAATACACCAAAAATTTAGGGGTCAAAATCACATAATCTGACACACTGATTATCCGAACAGACAAAAATATTGTTTAGTCTGAACCTGGCATTAGAACTATCGTTTTTCACCAAATAGGGGAAGGAACTTACCGTTAGCCATTTCATAGGTTTTATCATAGCATTTTCCCATCAAAATTAAGATCATTTTTAAAATCCCATTCATCCCATCCATTTATTCAGATCTTAGACATGCTGAGTGACACAAACAAGTGTTGTTATACTAATAGTGCGTTCAAGCCATTTTGCAATTACCGTAATTATGAAATTTCGAGCGCTGACTTGTCATCTCATAATTACGATAATTCCAACATGAATGCACCACAGAAATATCAGGCCTTTATACAGTAATATTATACTCATGCACAGCCATTTTCTTCATTATTTTTAGGAGGAGGACTTTCAAGACATGATTTCCAGTGCCCAAGCCATGGAGAATAAATACGTCCACTTGTTTGAGAAAGTGATCATCAATGACGATCTGGCCATGGCATTCACCGAGCTGAGAGACGAACTCACAAAGATAGAAACAGAGACTCGCTGGATCCCAAAAACATGGGCTCATGTCTGAGAAACCAATTCATGTTCACTGAACCACTTAGACTCATAATAACTTTTGACAATGTTTTAGAGATTTTCTGCATATAAAAAATATGGCACACCATATTATTGTAATTATACGCTCATGAGCAGTATGCGCTGGCCCGTCATGAATCAACTCCATTCATAACTTCCTACATAATGGTATACATTATGCTATATTACTGAATGATTTCTATACACAAATTGCTTTGTGCACTGTTGTGGCTTGTGTTTTATGTTTTAATAACTTACAGACGTTGATTTTCCATTAAAAAGATGTGTTCTTAATTTGATTTAAGTGAGGTGGAATAGGACTACAGTTTCTTTTATTTTCGTAACTTGTGACTACAAGATTGAACTCTGGATTAGACCTCTGAAACACATCCAGGTTGCTCTTGTAACAAACACTTCCAATCCAAATTTAGTTTTGTTCCTGACATTGAACTCAGCAGTGATTTAAATGACTTGGCATTGTTGAAGAACATTAACGTTTGCAGGTATACAAGAGGTAGCAATTCTTCTCAAACAATGCATTTTGGAAAGGAGAGTTGAGTTGGAAGTTAAGAGGAAGACGTTTGCTCAAGGTGACCTTAGTTTTTCCAGTGGAAGCCAGAAGAGGAAGAGGATGTTGATTTTTTACCAGCACTCAGTATATTAAAGCAGAATTAAAGAGTAACGGGAGAGTTCCTGGAGTTTCCTTGGATGGCTGCCCGGTCAGCATGAGGGACACCTGACACATGTATACCTTTATACCTTCCAGTGAATGAATGAATGAATGAATGAAAGGAAGAGCAGACTAAAGATGCAGTGTGGCATGTCAGAATCTTTTTAAAGAAGTGACAGATTATGATTTAAGGCATTCAGTATTTCAACTGCTTAAAGCCTTTCACTCATACTTTCATATGTGAAACCGTTTGTGGTTCAGTTCATATGGTAGTAATGGTACATATTAACCACACATTAACCAAACTCGCTCATATAATTTGGTTCTTACTCCTGTAAATATCAGGCAGTCACTTCGGTTGTAGAATGCAGTTGTCACTCTCTGCGTCAATGTAATTTACTGCTGCAAACAGGACTTGTAAAAAATTTTGTAATTTTATTTTACATTCGACTTTAAAAAAAAAAACCCTGAACCAGTTACATTTTTTGGTATAATGATTTGTGAAGGCTGTGATAAATTATGATGTTGACATGATCTGATCTAAACACTGACACCTAAACACACATGCATGGATGAATATTATCATATGGTGTGGTTTAAAGTATTAAGCAACTCTTTGTTGCATATACGTCTTTCAGTTGGTTGGCACAAGTGTACAATTTCTTTAGACAGTAATGTGACAGAATTCCAGCTGATTTGCATCATTTGATAGACACTACAAGGCCACGTACGTTTACACGACAACAATATGCTTTTGAGTTTTGCACGCACAGACAACACCATTATCAAAATGATCCCCATTAACACGAATCCACGAAAACGACTAAAAACGCTGTATTCTGCTGCCAGGCCATTAGATGTTGATGAAACACTATAGACTGAACAACACGTCATCGTCTTCAGAGATTCGTGTTTCTTTTAGACGGAGACCGTTTTCAAAAACTTGCAATTAGAAACCCGTTTTCAAAAGTTTGCGTTTTCAGGCTCCCAAAATAAACGGCCAAAACGCATAAAATGTTTTACGTTGTTACCTTATTCACAGAGTTATAATGGCTGTTTACACGACTACGAAAAACGTAGAACTTTTTATGCGTTTTGGCCGGCAAGTTTTGGGTGCCTGAAAACGCAAACTTTTGAAAAGGGGTTTCAAAGTGAAAGTTTTTGAAAATGGTCAAAACAACAAAACGGTTGTACCGTCCGTACACGGAAAAACTTCTCAGTTTTAAGCATATCATTGTCAGGTAAACGTATGGCCTACCCTAAAACTATTACATTGTCAAAAGAATTCGTGTTTCTTTTGTCAGACGGAGACCTTTTTCAAAAACTTGCACTTTGAAACTCGTTTTCAAAAGTTTGCGTTTTCAGGCACCCAAAATAAATGGGCAAACGCATAAAAAGTTTTACGTTTTCAACTAAAAACATAGAACTTTTTATGTGTTTTGGCCGGCAACTGAATTCTGAGTGCAAGTTTTTCAAAGTGCAAGTTTTTGAAAATGGTCTCCGTGTAAACAACAAAACGGTTGTACCGTCTGAACGTGGAAAACCCAAAAGAAAAAACCTCTCTGTTTTAAACATATCGTTGTCGTGTAAACGCTTAGCCTACCCTAAAACTAATACTCAAAAGAAAAAGCAATCGACCACATGTACGCTCTAGTTTCTGTTTAGTTTCTGTGTTTTCCTTAGTTCATAGTTAATTTCCCTGTTTGTTAATTAGTTTCCATAATCCCTGATTCGACACACCTGTTCTGTTTCTCTTGTGATTACGTTCTCGGAGTATATAAGCCCTGACTTTCCGCAGTTCATTTGTCAAAACAGTAAAGAAAATTACATTATGTTTATATCACATTTGTTGTGCGATCTCTACAATAGTCACACCTGACACCACTTGCTGAGCTAATACATTCAGGGACCTCTTTCTTAATAATGAAATTACATCTTTTAAATACTTTTGTTTTCCTCTCGCAGTTTTCATATATCTGCGGTGGATGAGAAATTAGTTTATTAGTCAGTCATCATGGCTCATGTAAATGTCAATCAATGTTCCTCTACCTGGTGACATGAAAGAGGCAGTATATAGAAACAGATAAATCTGGATGTAGAGTTGGAAACTGTATTTGTCTGGTTTTGTGTGAAGGAGCCGGATGGGTAGACAGCCCAGGCTTTGTGGCTTTATGAGAGGTCAGGTTCCTTCACGGGCTCACGTCATCGCTATTAAAAGGCGATATGAACAGCGAGGCCCGAGTGCGTTAAAAAGACCAGGATACTTCATGCGCGCACATGCACACAAAGACAACGCCAACAAAAACATGGCAAGTCCAATAGAGCTGTGGACAAGGGTTTAAAATAACTGATTGAGTTAAATATGCTACCATAATTCAAGTTGAACAAGAGATGTGTGCTTTCCTGATTATCTCCAAATACAGCAGCAGAAGCCATGTAAGAACAATGTTAATGTACCTTTGTAAAACAAAGTAAACTTTTTTCCCCAATGTCAAAACGCTTCCCAAATTATAGCCAGGCTTTTGGCCATCATTACATTCAGGCCTTCTTCTCTGCAACAAAACGACCATTTGTGGTCAGCAGTGAAATCAAGTGAACTATTCCATGTTTACAAAATCTAATCATGCAGGGATGAAGTTTTTTGATAGTGGGATGTTTTTTTAAACACACTTTAACCCTTTAACTGCCGCATCTCGGGTCTTTTGTTGCGGTTGCATTCTAAAAACACAGCGCCAAGTTGAAAGACATTTATCTTTTAATAAACGCTCCTCTAGGCCTTGCAGGTTTGTTTTTTTTTTCTGTGTTGTGCCCACTGAATTCTGTGATCCTAGTAGGTGCTGTATTGAGCTAATCTGACCTACTCCTAATCCCAATCATAATCCTAACCCTACCATCACTACTAGGGTCGCATAATTCAGCACTACACCTGCCCTAAATACCCAGACAGCTACATGTGTGGAATCCACATGTACCAGATGTGGCACGGATCTGCACTGATACAATGTTACTGTCTGAGTGGTCTCCGGAGGGTCACACCTTCATCTGGACAGCACACCTTATTGCCAAATCTCAGAAGTTTAGAGCCATACTAGAACCTGTTTCATGAAAACCTTGAGATCTTACATTGTACCTCACAAAGAATTGACTCTATTTAAAATGTATAGAATTAGCTCATTGAGGCTTCTGTTATACTATATCATAGTTGTTTGAATCATTTAACACATTTTTAGTTCATCCAAAAATGATGAACTCCGGTCAATTTTAACACTGAGCTAATTTTTTTGTTCATTTGGAGTGCTGTCAGTACAGACAAAAATGACAAAAATCGGTGTTGCCTACACCATGTCATCCTCTTTTTAAAATTCGTACCCTGGTGACTTCAATGGGGCAAGTGCTAAACCTGCAACATCCTTGATTTGTCATTACAAGTTCACAGCCATGTGAGTGGTGTTATTAAGAGTGACCATGGTCAATCTGACTGCAGTAGATTTGAAAGATATGAATAAAAATGATGTTAATTCAGCCAGCTCACATACCTGTATTTACTTCCTGTTTTCGGTCGAAGTCCACAGTAGTCGATTGTCGGTTTTGGGTGCGCGATCTTTGGTAACTAAGCAACAGTGGAGACTCAGACTGTCAGCCGATGACGGTGCTGTGTGGTGTTCTGAGAATATCAGCTCAAATGGATAGTTCATCCGAATCAGATGATGAACCAAAGATCGTGCGCAGGCAAACTCGACAATCGACTACTGTGGACTTCGACCGAAAACAGGAAGTAAATACAGGTATGTGAGCTGGCTGAATTCACATCATTTTAATAATATTTTTCACATCTTCTGCAGTCAGATTGACCGTGGTCACTCTCAATAACACCACTCACATGGCTGTGCACTCATAATGACAAATCAAGGATGTTTGTCGTTTTTGTCTGTACTGACAGCACTCAAAAAATGAGCTCAATGTTAAAATTGACCGGAGTTCTCCTTTAAGTCATTCCAAACCTGTTTAACTTCTCTGCACAATACAAGATAGTTTGAAGAACACTGGGATCCAGAAAAACATTGTCTTTTATATGTACATTTTTATAAAATATCTTCTTTTGCATTCCACAGAAGAAAAATAGCATGCAAGGATGTGTAAATTGCTTTATTTTGACATTAATTCATCTAAATGTTAAATATCCTTAACAATACACTCCACAAATGTCCACTCTTACAAGTAACACACTATACACTCACCTAAAGGATTATTAGGAACACCTGTTCAATTTCTCATTAATGCAATTATCTAATCAACCAATCACATGGCAGTTGATACTGAGGTATGCAGAAAAGAATTTGTGAAGCCACAACATGCACAACCTTGAAGCGGATGGGCTACAACAGCAGAAGACCCCACCGGGTACCACTCATCTCCACTACAAATAGGAAAAAGTGGCTACAATTTGTGTGGCTACCAAAATTGTTGCCTGGTCTGATGAGTCTCGATTTCTGACATTTAGATGGTAGAGTCAAAATTTGGCGTAAACAATAGAATGAGAACATTGATCCATCATGCCTTGTTACCACTGTGCAGGCTGGTGGTGGTGGTGTAATGATGTGGGGATGTTTTCTTGGCCACTTTAGGCCCCTTAGTGCCAATTGGT